CTTATTCTCCTAAGAAATGGATTTAAGTTAAGCTCTAAAGTGTGAAAGGATAATCAACTTGTTTTTGTTGTTTTATAGAAAAAACAGCCTGGTTCCCAGATCCGTTGAATTTCCATTATGTCATATCATATTGTCAGTCTTCATTCATAATGATAGGTTTCATAGTGTCGTCAATTCCTAATCAGCTCAAAATTTTTTCTACCTGACTTTTCCGAAATACTCCCTCTTGCGCTATTTGATAAGTTTTGAAATAACGATAGACTGTCGGAAATATCGTCATGTTAGAAAGTTTTTTTTTCGAAGTTTTTTCTCCGAGTACTTAACTATCAACAAGAAGGAATATGACCATTATTATTGACAGTGATGTCATGCTTTGCCACAGCTGTAAACAGCGCTTGCGTAGGATTACAGTTTACTGACTTGCGTTCTGTTATTTTATTATCGCCTAAACAAGCAAAACCAAATTGCTTTCGCCTTGTAAGAGACATTCAAGAGGATTGTCGGATACACGTTTTTTTGTCACATCGCTTGTGCTATACTCCTTTCCAAATTTACAAAGTACGTATAGTCAACATGCGTGGACGATTCTATAAACAAGAGAAATCTAACAAAATAGGCATAAAACTTCTCCGACAATCCAATGTTTATTGAAGCCTTGCGAGTATAAACAGTGCAAATGATAAATTGAATTCTTTAGGTTTCCTAAGGCCGGGAGCGCTTACACCTACGCTTACGTAAGTGTTGGCGAACTGTGGGCCTTCATAATTGGTTGGAACATCATTTTAGAGCACATGCTAGGAGCAGCAGGTAGAGTAATCCCTTCTTATTTATTTATTATTGTTCCATGTATGTATGTGGAAGTTCCCTAAGATTAACAAGAAAGTAGAAACCATTCAAGCTGTGGCGCGTTCGTGGTCTGGCTACTTGGATTCGCTGCTAGGAAATGTCATCTCAAATACTACCATTGCACGAGTAGGACGCATCCAGGTATGATTTTTTGTTTCGCCATAAACTTCGTTAATTCATCTTTGTTCAGAGCTCGTCGTTTTTCGGTGACTACCCCGATGTGGTCGCATTTATTTTGATCGTCGTCGTGGGCATTTTTGTTGCGATGGGATCGAAGGCCTCCACCAATTTTAATTCGACGTTCACCATCGTGAATATGGCTGTAAGTAGTTTACAA